GTTCATAGAACTCTTGGAATGAAAGAGACATCAGTGGACAGAGATCCAGGCAAAGCTTCATCCATGCTCGAAGTTCCTTCCAGCCGTGGTAGAGGTGTGGGTAGAGTGACAGTGACATTGTCCAGCAGTCAAGGAACTGGCAAGATGAATGTCAGGCATGGGACCGTCAACCCAACAGCTCCCTAGGGCCCAAGTTATCCCAGTTTCCTGGCACTGCCCCCTCATGCCCCTTCCCCAATGTCTCCACCGCACCCCCTTCACCCTGCTTGGAAAATCATCAGCTTCCTACTGGAGGCTTTTCCAGATTAGCTACTAACACAGTCCTTAATACTTTGATATTAATAGCAGAATACCATTAATACCTTGATATGCATTCTTCAGTATCTTTTAACAATACACTTTTTGTTTCATAAAAGCGAGATTGTACCCACTGTTTTGTAATCTCCCCTTTACGCATAAAACATATAATGGGAATTTCTCTGTCAATAAATATTCATCTGCCAAGAATCTAATACTGTTATATTTAAGGACTGAATAGTAGTCTCTAAGTGGATATAGCATAATTTGTTTAACCAGTTTCCTAGTTTGGGGATATTTACATTGCTTTTAGCTTTCTGCCATCATAAAATGAACTGCAAAAGACATCCCTATGACCATTTTATTTATTTATTTTTAGTTTATTCTCTCTAGCCATTTCATTTATTTATTTATTTATTTATTTATTTATTTATTTATTTATTTATTTATTTATTTATTTATTTATTTATACAAGCACTGGGTACAGTCAGAGGCATGGGAGAGTGAGAGAATTCACCAGAGCCAGAGCGGAGAGTCGAACAGGCAGACTGACGAAGTACACTGCTGAGGGGAGCAGCGGGCGGCAGGAGAGGTCTGCATGTCATGTGGGACCCTCGCCCGGTGGCCGGGAAGCAAACCGGCACTGCAGAGGCTGCAGGCAGCTTCGCAACCCAGCGCTCGACCGGGGAGGCCCTCTCTGGCCATTTTAAAAGAAACTTTGCTTTGTCAAGATTCCTGAGGGTAGCAAACTTAACTTGCTAAACTCTATAGAACTGACCTGCCTCACACAGAGCCATTCTAGGCACTTGGGATGACTGCGGCCCTCCCCTCCCCCTCCCCAGTAAGCACAGGACCCAGTAGACTCAGTTCTCATCTCACTCCCAACCCCTCAGCCCTCAACTTCTGGGCTCCCACATTTCTTACTCTGACCTTACTTAGAACATAAATCAGAATCAATAAATGCATTTAGAAGATGGAATCTTTATCCTAATATTTGTAAAACGCTTTGCAGTTTTTCAGCTATTTTGTATGAAGTTACCACTCTTTGAGGGTACTATGTGGGTACTGTGCTTCAAATGTGAAACACATTTCGCCTAAGCTTCCCAATTCAGGAAGGCAGCAGTGGCCCTACATTAGAACAAGAAAATAGGTTTTAGAGCTAGGCCGACTGGCAGAATGGGAAGTCAGACCAGACTTGGGTTTGAACAGGTTTATCAGTCATGTCACAAGCTGTCAGCCCGCCCCACAGACGTGTTTCAAAAAGGAAAACCGAGTTGGTAAGGCTGGAGGAGGAGAAACGCACCTCGAGGGACAAGTTGCCAGCGACACCTAGTAGAGCAAAAGAGAGAGGGTGCAGCGGGCGGGATTGTGAGGCCGCCCTCCTATCTCGCCCGCTGCTCCCCTCGGCAGTGTATTTCAGTCAATCCGCCTGTTCTGCTCCCCACTCTGTCTCTGGTGAATCCTCTTACCCTCCCCGCAAACCTCTGGCCTCCACCTAGTTCTGTGTCAGGGTGCCCCTCTCAGAGGCTGACCTCGCAGGCTAGGTGAGATCATCTTCTCCTATGTGCTCCAGGTCCTGGAAGACTCGGCCCCTCTGCTGTCAGAGGGGAACTTCCATATGGAGGCCTTACTGAGGTAACAGGAGCCTGTGTGCCTGGTTTTGCACACATCCCAAGAGGCACAATAGGGGACATGATGCAGAAGCTCTCAGGGCATCTGAGTGGTGCCAGGAACAAAGAAGACATGCAGTGACAGAGCTCAGAGGTCCAAGGTCAGGTGCCCATCTCCGCAGAGCCCCTGCAGAGGCCTGGAAGGTCTAAAGAAGAAATTAGGTCTTCTGCTGCTGCTGGGGCATCCAAGATGAGGCAGCCGGCACTGAGGAGGCGCTACCACCAGGACCGCAGGTTTCCTGGAGGGCGTCCCTATCTGTTCAGGGGAGCAGGCTCCATGGATGCTGGCCCTAGCTTTGGGGGCCTTGGAAGGAGAGGTGAAGGAGGAGGGGCTGCCAGCCTGAGATGGCTCCAACCCGGCCCTGCCTCAGCACCTCAGAGGCCCCCAAAAGGATGCGCTGAAGTCCTTCATCTCGCAGAAGTATAGGATGGTGGGGAGCACAAGGGATCAGAAGATTCCCGGACCATGGAAGCGGTAGCTATATCCCTACATACGGTTTCCATGTCATGGTTATTGCAAATAATGCTGTAAGGAACATGGGGGTGCAGATATCTTTTCAACTCGGTGCTTTTGCTTTCTTCAAATAAATATTCAGAAATGGAACTGCTGAATCATACGGTAGTTCTATTTTTAATTTTCTGAAGAACCTCCACACTTTTCCATAGTGGCTACACCAAATAAATCCCAACCAACAGTGCACAATGGTTCCATTTTTCTCCACATCCCACACTGGTCATTTCTTGCCTATTTGATAATAGATAGCCATTCTAACAGGTATGAGGTTTGGATTTGCATTGTCCTGATGATGAGTGATGGTGCACATCTTTTCATCTACCTCTTGGCCATTTTATTTTTGTTGTTGTTTGCTTTTTAAGATTTATTTATTTATGCATACAAGAGCTGGGGTGCAGGCCAGAGATGTGGGGGGTGAGAGCATTCACCAGAGTAGGGAACAGAACAGGCAGATTGACTGAAATACACTGCTGAGAGGAGCAGCAGGAGACAGGAGAGGTCTGCCGCACCATGTGGGTTGCTCCCTGGCTGGCCGGGGATCGAACTCATGCTGCTAAGGCTGTGGATTGCTTCATAGTGCGGTGCTTTAAGCCCTTGTGCCACCAGGGAGGCCCTGTTTGTTTTTTAAAGATTTTTTTATTTATGCATACAAGAAGTGGGGTACAGGTCAGAGGTGCAGGGGGTGAGAAGATTCACCAGAGACAGAGTGGAGAACAGAACAGGCAGACTGACTGAAGAACACTGCTGAGGGGAGCAGTGGGTGAGACAGGAGAGGTCTGCTGCACCATGTGGGTAGCTCCCTGGCTGGGGATTGAACTCATGCTGCAGTGGCTGGTGCTAGCTTGATAGCGCTGTTTTTAACCCCTGCACCACCAGGGAGGCCCCCCCCCTTGGACACTTTGTCTTCTTTAGAAAAACATCTGTTCAGATCCTATGCCCATTTTTCAAACAGGTTTTTTTTTTTTTTTAACTACTAAAGTGTATGAGCTATGTATTTTGGATATTAACCCCTTATCAGATATATGACTTGCAAATCTCTCCCATTCAGTAGGTTGCCTTTTCATTCTGTTGATGGATATGATTATTGGCTAAAGAATTGCTATGAATCAATCATTTATTTCTTGGTTAATTAGTGTGGCTATTGAAAGAACAATGCTTGCCCTACATAACTGTATTAGTCAGCTCTCCTGAAAAACAGAATATGATACATAAAACATACATAAAAGAAGATTTATTATCAGAATTGGTTCCTGCAGTTACAGAGGCCAGGAAGTCCCACAATCTGTTATCTACACACTGGCGAACCAGGAAAGCCAGTGCTATCATTCAGTCTGAGTCCAAAGGTTTGAGATGAGGGGCCCAATCCTGTAACTCCTGGTCTGAATTCAAAAGTCCAAGAATCAGGAACCACTATTGTCAGAGGACTGGAGAAAATGGATGTCTCAGCCTAAGCAGAGAGAGTGAATTCGTCCTTCCTCCAACTTTTGTTCTATTCAGGACCTAATCAGATTGGATAATGTCCTCTCCCACTAATGAGGGCAATCTTCTTTACGCAGTGCGCTGATTCAAAGGCTAATCTCAAACACACAGAAACCACCAATTATCTGAGCATCTCTTAGCCAAGTGGACACATAAAATAAATCATCACAATTACAAAATTGAATAGTACAAAAGATATACAATGAAAAGTCAGTCTTCCTCCTATCCCTGATGCCCAGTCCCATATCTCACTCCAGATACAACCCTTATTTACACTTTTTTAAATAATAGGTTTGTTTTTTTTTAATGTATAGGTACATATAATTGTAATCCCATTTTACAGATGAGGACACTGAGGCCGAGAGTGGTTAAGTGGCTGCATGAGGTCACACACTCATTGAGCTAAACGAACTGATACTAGATCTTTCTCTTGACACCACGCTGCCAGCCTGACACCATCCTGAGCCCTCATGTGTGAACTGAGTGTGCATCCTGGACTGAGGGCCATGGGAGAGGAAGGGCTGCACATGGAACTTGCTGACGGCAGTCCCCAGTACTCAGCCACTGGGCGCCTCAGCAAAAGGCCGGGGACCTGGCCCAGATTAAGCTCCTGTGCAGAGCTGGGCAAATCTCCTGACTTCCCCACCTGTCCTTACTCACTGGGCTATGTTGGGATTCAAATAAACTAAGTAGAAAGGTGTTTGGAAAGTAAAAATGTTAAGGAAGTACCAGATGTTGATAGGGTTACTTTGTACTTTAATTTGTGTTCGCATGTATCTTTCCTAGAAGGGTGTTGCTTACTCACCGGTTCTTTCCAAGAGGGTTGACTCCCATTTCTCTGAGTCCCCAACCCAGTGCAGATAAGGAGCCTGTCAAAGGGGCTGCTGCATGGGCACCTAGAGAGTTCAGTGCCAAAGCTCATATCCAGGTAGTGCCACTTCCTTCAAGGAGCAATGCAAGAACCCCAACCAGCTGGAGTGTAGAACAGCTGAGTCAAGAAATTCAATCACGGGGACCAGGCTATTCCCCAAAAAAGTACCACTTGTCTCTTGCCCTCACCTATATTCTGTGACTACAAAGACAGTACTGTGTCCATTTAACCATCACTGCATAACAAAACACCCCAAAGCTTAAAGGCTTACAACAATAACCATTTATTAGTTCATAATTCTTCCCTGCCTTGGCGAGTTCTTCCGCTGGTCTCACCTGAAGTTGTTCGGGTGGCTGCAGTCACCTGGTGCAGGATGGCCCAAGATAGCCTCACTCGCACACAAGGCAGGAGCTGGGACTGTCAGCTCTCCAGCTGAACAGCCTGGATTTCTCAACCTGGTAACGGCAGGTCCCAAGTGCTGTAAGCACTCTGGAAATCTACTCTCCAGAAGTCACACATTGTCACTTCTGACATATTCATTGGCCAAAGCAAGTCACAAGGCAATTCTACATATAAGGACTAGGAAAGAAGAGTCTACCTCTTGAGGAAGGAGCTGTAAAAAATTTTGATCATGTTTTTCAATAATCCACTATGCAATGATTCCCATCGATCAACCATCCTGCACTTACCGAATGCCTAATATGCACTAGATACTGTGTTGAAGTATGAAGAAACCCCAAGACACAGTGTGTGCAAGAAAAATCGTCGAAGACTGAAATGAACAAAAAATCACTGGGTGCCTGCCAGGGGTGCTGGGCTTCGTCTGGGTGGGTCCTTTGGTGATATTTGATTCTATGGGAGTCTATGTCTTTGATTTTTTTAATTCATAAAAAGTTTAAAGACTCAATAGGGATTTAACATCGTATTTCCAGATATGCCCAAAAACCAGCATAGCTCGCATCAACCGCTGTTCCGTATGAAAAGATAGTCCATGTGTTCCGTGAAACCTGCTCACTAGACTCATTTACAGCTCTGCAAGTTGGAAAACCTGGCAGTCATGCAAGTGATTTTTGTTCACAGAAATGCAAATCAGCTTTGTGGAGTGAAATAAACTGAGTTTCTGTCCACTAGAAAAGATAATTCCAAATATTACAGCCCAGGCCTTGCAGGCTATTCACCATTTGACGCATTCCTGGTTGCCTTGAACGTGTGCTCTTCACTTCGCCTTTCAGCTGGTTTTAACAAAGTGCAGACACCCTCCTCAGTTAAACACAACCTTGGCTGCACGTTCACTCTATGTGTATGTGAGAGTCATTATTTTACCTACTTGAAAATTATCCTATAACACAGTTTTCTCATCTGTGAAATGGCAATAATAATTGTACTTCTCCATAGGGCTGCTGGCTGGATGAAATTAGATAAAATCATTAGACATATTATCATGGTTCCAAGTTCAAAATAAATGCTTATAAGCATTAGCTGTTTTATTGCTGTGATTATGATTATTCAAAGGACTTAGAATTTAAGTAGAAATCTACAGAAAAAGGCAATCAAGTGTTGAAGTGCTCCATTAGGCTCTAAACTGTGTGGCAGAGGTTATTAACTCTGGTATTCAAGCAGGCTATGATGAATCCAGAGTCATCCAGGAAGGTTTCCTAGAGGAGGAGTCATCTTAGGTGCTCCTTGAAGGATGGGCAGGACTTGGATAAGGACGGAGAAAGAAGAGGAAACCATCACAGGCAAGGCAAGGTCACGGTGGGAAAGAGAGTAACTCACCTGGTGATGAGTTCATCCTGAGCTCCTTTCCCCTGTTGCACTTGCCTTTGATGTGTCTATGAAGAGTATTTCACTATTTATTTTTCATTTATCCACAAACAAGAAAAATCATAATCAGGTGAATTATTCTCTTTTCAACACCTGCAAGGGCACACAATTAAAGCATAAATTTGTAAACTCCAAGGGACAGGGCCGTTAGTTGTTTCTCAAAAGCATTTAAGCATTAAAGAGTCTGAACTGGTAAGTGAGGATAAAAAGAGGGTAGCTTACACATGCTACTGTGAAGCCTGGCCTAAGGAGCGACCCCAGATTGTGCTCCTGTGTGGGTCCAGGGGTGGGTTCGGATCTCAAACACTGTATGGCAAATCTCTAGTCAAAGTCCACACCAGTCCCGCCTTTGACTAACAATCTCCAACACTCTGGCGTCCTTGGTGGTAGAGATTGGATTTGGGCCAGAATAGTCCACCCACACCCCTCAAACAGAAATCTTCATCATTTTCAGGGTACAAGGTTTTGGAGAGAGGAAAAAACAAACATGTATAAAAAAGCACTCTGATGTTTATAATCTAATCAGAAGGATGAAATAGACCAAGTCTGTAACTAAATGTGAAACTAGACCAAAAACATTGTCTTGGGACAATGTCTTGAAGTAGTTAGGGCTTCTCCTGCAAAGGACTTAATACAACTGAAAAGGAACGGATTACTCTAAGTGACGAGAACAGTGGGTAACAGTAGAAAAACCCAGCTTCAGTCCTCCCTGGTGGTGCAAGTGCAACAGGGAAACTCCCCCTTTCCTGGGGACCACCCTGTTGCAATCAGCAATATGAAGCAATCTGCAGCCACTGCAGCACGAGTTCAATCCCTGGCCAGGGAGCTGACCCACATAGGGTGCAGCAGACCTCTCCTGTCTCACCCGCTGCTCCCCTCAGCAGCGTCACTTGTGACACCTGGCAATAGACAGATCAATCATCGAGTCTACTTCCAAAATATATCTCTGTAAGTCCCTTTCCATTTCTATACTCTTGTCCAAATCACCATCCTCTCTCATCAGGATTACAGCAGCCGGGGCTGATTTAGCCAGCAGGTAAGCAGGTATGGTTCCTGGGTCCTGCTATTCTTTTAGAGGCCACAAAGCATTTTAATCTATTTTAAAATTATAAGAAAACATTTAGATCAAACAAAATGCTTTAAGGTATAATAGTATGTTCACCTCTGTACCAGCACAGTCATAAAACTTTTGATACCGTTTTTAGAGAGAAATGGGTCTATGAAGGCATAATGCCTAGAAAAATTATAACTGGGCCCTGACAATAACCACCTGTTAACTGGTCTTTCTCATCCTTTAGCAGATTAGTATAATCCATCCTCTACTCAGTAACCTAAGTAATTTTGGTGGTTTTTTTAAAATTTAGTTTTAATGCTATTTTCTTTTTACATCATTGATCATTTTTAAACAATATTTGTTTCCTCCCTCCCTCAGGTTTAGTCCCTATAGAATTTCCTTCCCCAATACACCCATGCACCATCACCACAATTTTGGTTTTTATTAAAGTGTGTCTTTATACATTAAAGTGCACAAATCTTAAATGTACTATCTGAATGTTTACACACAGACTCATGGAACCACCACCCACGACAAGAGATACAGAACAACCCTTTTCAAAATTTCATTTTCAGATCATGACATTCCCTTGCATAAAATCATTCCACGCTTTTCCAGGCAAATTGGAGTAAAATCCAAACTCCTAAATGTGGCTTCAAGCCTCACATGACCCAACCCCTACCTCTCTCAAACTCACCTTGTATTCACCCCTGTCCCCCACCATAGTCTAGCTACTAGTCTTTAAATTCCTCAGTACGCAGATATTCCTGCCTTGCAGCTTTTTATGTAGACGTTCTTCTGCTGTCTTCCACAGCTCATAAAGAAGTTCATAGAACGAGCTGTCTGCAATTCGAATCTGTTTAAATGCCACTTCCTTAATCTTCCCAAACCAGGCAATCAAAAAGTTGCACCTAACTACCCTTTATCAAATCACCTTAATTACCTGCGAAGTCTTTATCGTTTCTAGTACTGTGTGTATTTACAGCTTACTGTCTTTCCCTCACTTGACTATAACCTCTTTTGGGACAATTCTGTTGTACCCGAAAATGCCAAACCGGTGCCTCCATGAAAACCCTATAAAACCTAACATTGGCTAAATACCATGACAAAAAGCACCATTGGCCAGAGGAACAGGCTAGCACGTAGGGCCATAAGGGCCTGATTTTCACTGAACCGAGTCAAAAACATTAAAAATTCGATGAGGTAACAAAACCCCTGGCAAATAAATGCTCAGTAGGTTACTTTCTCATGCGTTCGAAACAGCCCCAATAAAAGCCAGCCTGCCGCAGGCGAGCGGGCTTGCTCCGCCCGAACAAAACGCGATTTAAACACCAGCTCCGAATCTTGGCTTCAGAAAGCGCATTGTGGCCCGCCGTTCGGGTTCCAGCACCCCGCGTTCGGTGCCACAGACGTGGAACCGCGGGCGCGCCCCGCCCCTTCCGCTCAGCCCCGGGCCGGAAGTCCAGGGACCCGGCGCCCCCGCCCCGGGCCCAGGCGGGCCCCGCGTCCGCGCGTAGCTCTACGTAAAGCGTGTGGGGTTTCGCGACACCCCAGGCCCCACCCCCTCAGCCACATGTCGCGCCGGGCTTCCCGTCGGACGCCGCGCCACCGCCTCGCGCTGCTTTACGAACCTAGAGCTGCGCCGCCCCGCCTCCCGCCTCGCCTCCCCGCCCCCCCCCCCCCGGCTCCGCGTCTCCGAGCCCGACGCGCCCGCTATAATCACGTGACCGCCTCATCCGGGTCCTTTGCGTTCTCTCTCCCTCTCCCAACATGGCGTCCTCAGGTGAGTGAGCGGCCGAGCGCGGCCAAGGACTGGGCTCCGAAGGCGCCCCCCGAGCCTGATCCACGGATCCCCTTCAGTCAGAGAGTGGGCGGCACCGCTTCCCTTTGGGTTCTCGGGCTGCGGCGGGCTGGCGGCGTGGCCACGTTAGGGTATCGCTCCGGGATGTTTGGGGGGAGGGGAAGGGCACCTTCCCCTCCCCCCGCACACGCTTTCGCCCGGTCTGCGCGGGGTTGAAGTGGGGAGGAAGGGTGGCCTCGGGCCCGAGGCGGCGTGAGGAGAAGGCGCAGGGCGATCCGCGGGAGGCGGGAGGCCGCCCGAGAGCCGGGAAGCACCGTGCCCGCGTGGAGGAAGGAGGAGGCGGTTGGCGCGCGGACGGGTGCACCCCAGGCGGGGTCCCCGAGGCGCGAGGCCGTTGCGGGCCGGGTGGGGGCAGGGGATAAAGGGAGGGGGCAGTTAGAACGCGGGCGCGAGGCCGGGAGGGGCGGGGGGAGGCGCCGGCGCGCGTGCGCGGTCGGAGGGACGCGGGGAGTGAGGACGGGCGCGCCGGGAAGCACGCGCGCCGGCCAGATGGGGAAGGGCTGTGCGCTGGGGCGGCTGCCTTGCGGGGCCTTGCTCTGCCCTGCCCTGCCCTTTTTAGAGCCTGGCCCGACCCCCGTGCTCTTCAGAGACCAGATACGTTAGGGTTGCAGGTTGGAACTATTGGATTACGTGGGACTGGGAACCCCATCCTGCGCCCACGTGTTGGCAGAGAGGAAGCCAGGAGGTTTTTTTTTTGTTTTTTTTTTTTTTTAGGCTTTTTTCCCCCTTAACATTTTTACTGAGCCCAAACTACATGCCAAGACACGATTCGTTCAAGGTGTTAGAAATGAAATGGTGAGCGAGTGTGACAGCTACCATTTTGTTTGATTTTTGACAGTTTCAGGAGAGGATTCGCGCTATTTTAATTGCACGATTCTTAGGGGGTGCTTTAAAACAACCCCGAAGGCCAGACTTGGTTTCTTTTTTAAGACGCCTTTCAGGAAAAATAACACGCTAGTCTGCTTGCTTTTCTAGTGGATTTAGCTGCCGACTGCAGTATTTTAGAGCACTTATCTTAGTGTGGGGTATACAGGTTCTCATCCGTGCCACGATCCTTCATTCTCCAAGGCATGCATTCATCCCCAATCCTCTCTTAAGAGTTTTTCTTCTCTGTTATGTGGGAGGCCAAGTTTTGTGTTTGTCTACATCCTCTTCCCCCTAACATTTGGACAATATGGGAATTGAGGTGCATTTGAACATACCTTTCACTGATGTAGCACTTGATAGTCCACTGTCCACTTTTATGTAAATTGTCTCCTTTGAGCCTCTGTGAAATAATGTAGGCAGAGGAAAATGAAATTATTTGTTCAAGGTCACACTACTTGCCAGTGTCAGAGTAAGGTCGAAATCTTTGAGACGCCTGACTCTACTCAATTTGAAAATACCAGGGTTGGCTTTCTGTCATTGTAAGTTTAAGATACTGCCTGAAAGCTTCATCTGAAGTCGAGTGTTTATTTGGCCTGAATTGCCATCTTGACAAGTCTACTGTCATCATTTATATTCCCTTTCTCCAAAACTTTTGTGGAATTTTGAGAGGTGGTCGAAATGTTAGTAATTTATGTCCAATTCAGTGAAATCTGGACTAGTTGAAGGTATTTGCTTACTAGTGTTCCTTCTACCATATTTTCTCTCCCCCTTGAAAGTTGTCATCTCCTTTAATTTTGCTCCATAAATCTTTTTAGCTTTTGTAATATAAGGATAGTATGCTGGTATCTGAGCACAAGGTTACACCTGACATTCTGCCTTAAAGGAGTTTGGGATTTGTCAAATTTCCCCACTTTGAAACTTTTTCAAGCACATTGACTTTGTTAAACAGCCAGTATTCTCAGATATGCCTGTATTCATGAAACCAGTGTTTTTTCCAATATACTTAATGCTGCCCAGTGTCTTTTGAAAATACATCTTACATTTTCTATCGCTTCTCGGCCTTTTGGCTAAGATCAAGTGAAAATACATCTTACATTTTCTTAGTGAAAATACATGCTAAAACTTCCTAGGCTGCTTCTACCATTAAGTGAGATTTTCTTTTTCATCCTTTGCAATGATACTAGTATCCTGTGTGACCCATTATTGACCTTCAAGAACTGGAAGTGTTCCAGAGTGGAATACTGAATCTGTTCTCATCTGTAGGGAATCATGTGTTGGATTAAGGGTGAACATTTTTGTAAAGCAAAAATGCTTTAAAATTGGAAATAGCAGGACCTCCAGGCAGTTGAGATCATCGCTGTGAAGCTGTCCACACCCTCTGCAGTGCCGCTTTGATCCCCGCCAGCATGGGAGATACCCACATGGCGTGGCAGACCTCTCCTGTCTCCTGCTGCTCCCCTCAGCAGTGTATTTTGATTGGTCTGCCTGTTCTTTTCCCCACTCTCTCTGGTGAATCCTCTCACCCTCCTGCACATCTGGCCTATACTCCAGTTCTTGTATAAAAATAGATAAATCTTTAAAAAGGAAATCGGAAATAGCATATCTACACCAGGTCTTTCATTTGCATAACACCAAGATGCCATTATATGTGACATCTTGACTTTCATTTTTAGATTAATTTCATGGAGAGAAGATGGTGCTCATGATTGTTTTCATACAATGCTCACCCTTAAAGTTAAAAATACTTTCAGTGGTTGCCATTACATGCCTGCTGTTCACATTTCTTACAGGGAGTAAGAGACCCAGATTCTGAAGGCCAGGACTAAAACTTTGCAAAGTCAAGTACAAATAGGGTAGTGTCAGGTGAAGCATAGTGTTTCTAAATAATGTCACATGTATGTATATACTTCAAAACAACCTTGAGGGGCTTCCCTGATGGCTCAAGGGGTTAAGACACAGCACTGTGAAGCTACCCTGAGCCACTGCAGCACGAGTTCCATCCCTGGCCAGGGAGGTGATCCACATGGCACAGCAGGCCTCTCCTACCTCCCCCACTGCTCCCCTTAACAGTGTATTTCAGTAGGTCTGCCTGTTCTGCTCCCCTCTCTGTCTCTGTTGAATCCTCTCATTCCCCCACAACTCTGGCCTGTACCCCAGCTCTTGTACGCATAAATAAATAAAAGGTGTGCGGCTCTCTAAAGGTGAGATCCCTCAGCATCATTATATTTGCATTATGTGAAGCATGTTCTCATGACTGGACTCTATACAGTATAATTAATTCTAGGGATTTTAGTATTTTGTGTATATTTACACAGTATTATATAAGGAAACATGCGTTAATTTTTAATTCTGGAGAATTTGGCAGGATTCACATCCCAAAAAGAAACACTTGACCCATTAGCAGTGATTTTTTTTCCCCAGGTAATCTATTTCTTTATTATTTACCTCATCTAAACATTTCATACATTTCATAAATGGATGTTTGTTACTAACTTCTTTCAGAGTTGATCCATATTGTAGGATACATGGTTACTTGTTCATTTTTATTGCCAAATTTATGGGCATTTGGATTTTTGCCAGTTTTTTTTGCTGCTGTGATCTTAAACAGATTTTTATGCCTCTTCTCAGTTTCTTAATCTGTAGGTAAAAAAAAAATACTCAGAAGAGGGTCTCCCTGGTGGCACAAGGGGTTAAGCACAGCACTGTAAAGTAGTCCGCAGCCTCTGCAGCACAAGTTCGATCCCCAGCTGGCCAGGGAGCTACCCACATGGCAGCAGACCTCTCCTGTCTTGCCCACTGCTCCCCTCAGCAGTGATTTCAGTCAGTCTGCCTGTGCTGCTGCCCACTCTGTCTCTGGTGGATCCTCTCACTCCCCACGCCTCTGGCCTGTACCCCAGCTCTTGTATGCATAAATAAACAAATCTTAAAAAAAAAATGCTCAGAAGAGTTGGTAATCCTACACGGTAAGTGGGCTTGGGCAAAATCTGAAATAATGAGACTTAATTTTTGACGACTTCAACTTTTTTTTTTTTTTTTTAAGATTTATTTATTTATTTATACGAGCACTGGGTACGGTCAGAAGCGCGGGAGGGTGAGAGGATTCACCAGAGCCAGAGCGGGGAGCAGAGCAGGCAGAAGGACTGAAGTACACTGCTGAGGGGAGCAGCGGGCGGCAGGAGAGGTCTGCGCGCCATGTGGGACCCTCCTCCGGTGGCCGGGGAGCAGCCAGGGGTTGAACCGGCGCTGCAGAGGCTGCGGGCAGCTTTGCAACCCAGCGCTCAACCGCTGCGCCACCGGGGTGGCCCGACTTCAACTTTTGAGCCACATAAATTCCCCTTCCTAAATAAAGAGATGCTAGTTTATGAAAGAGACGTGGGGGGACTGTATGGTAAAATAAGTTTCATTGCTTATAGTGCCTTATGGTGTCTTCTGTTTTGAAGTAAAGAACCAACAGCCAGTTTGTAGATTTTATCACTCCATTTATTACTAATAAAGTAGAATAATAATAAGGAAACATTCAGAGAAAATAAAGGAGAGATTTTTACATGCTGTAAAGCCTTGGGTTTATTGCAGGTACCTTTCTGCTAGTGTGCTTTAACCTCATTTTGTTCATCCTCTTACTTGGTGATGTGAAATATCACTTAGAACAGTAATTCTCAACCAAGGGACACTTGTGTCTCACCCACCTA